TTGCATCCAAATGTAAATATTTACAACAGTTGGATCTTACAAGAAGCCACATTCCTGCTACGGATTTCGTAAACTTTCTTCAAAGTTGCGGCGATTGTTTAACGCACTTACGATTAAGTGACTGCAATTTTGTTGACAAATTATCTCTATTAAAAATTTCAGAAATATGCAAAAATTTGAAAGGTAATAAATATGATTGTCAAGATTACAGATAAACTGTATATGACTAATATGTGTACATTTTTTTTTTTTTTTTAGTATTGGATCTCAGTTCTTGTGTTATTCTGGAGGGAATGGACCAAGAAGTTTCGAGTTTCGAAAATCTAGAATTTCTAGAGAAATTAGACCTTCAAGGCTCCCTTATAAGAACTGAATTTCTTTGTAAAATACTGCAAAAAACTTGCCGGATGCGTAACTTAAATCTGCACATGCCTAACTTTTTTGATGAAGCCGGCACCGGATTACTAGATTTAGACGCAATTACAATACAGTTAAAAAATTCGTGTCCAGACTTGGAAATAATAGATTTATCGGGCTACAGTATTATTACATCGCGAGGTATTCATGCCCTCGCTGAATGCAAGAATTTACGAAAACTGACAATGATGAACAAGTACGTGTGTGCTACATTTTCTTTTAAAACACATATTATTCTTTATCAAAATGTGTATTTACATTTCTTGCAAACATCATGAAACTGTTATGTTGTTTTTCTTATTGCGATTGAAAAATCGCATAATAATATGACTTTTGTTACAGGAATGACATGTACCCCGAAGATCGCTCCACAATCGATAAGCATAGTTTGCGTAGATTGTTTTTCTCCTGTCAATGCTTAGAAGAAGTCAATTTGGGAAATTCCGATATGATTTTCAATTACGATGTCTATGAAGAACTGACAATGTGTAAAAACTTAAGACAAATATACTTGGGTTATACGTCTAATTTCGCAATTCTCGAACAGTTTCCTAAACTGCAAACAATCTATGTTATGCGCGCCGGGAACGCGTTCGACGACACACGTGATAGTCAGACATCATTCGTTGCTCAGGCGAAGGAAAAATATCCACACGTGTCTATCCTTGAATATCAAAAGGGAATCAAATATGATAATGAGGAATGTGAAGGATGATGAATGTGAAGGAAAGTGGCTTCCTTACCGATTTGTCTGAAATTTAACAATATATGTATTTCGGCGTGTTGAATTCGAATGTAAAAGCTAAAATCGTTGCTCTCAAGAGCAAAAGTTATAAAGTACTAAAAGTGACAATTTTTGGGTTAAGAAATGCTATATCGATAGGGTACATACAAGTACATACATGAGCATCAGAGAAAGCGTATGCATTGATGTAAAAGTGCGCAAAATTTGAAATAAATACGAGTTTTGAAATAATTCTTGTATATCTACATATAGTATAAAAAATTTAGAAGTAGGCGGAAAAGGGCCTCTCTTCCCTCTACACTTCTATACCCCCAAAATATCTATCCAAACCCAAACCTATTTCTAACAAACTGAAATTAATTTTAAATTGAATTGGCAAATTCTTTAAAATTTTATTTCTGCGTTTTAATTAACACCTTATTCGTTTAGAGACTTTTGGCTTAAATCATTGAAAACATCCCGATTGACTTTCCGACTTTATACAAATTTGAACCCATTCGTTTTTCGTCACTTGAATATTTTTATACGAGTTTTGAAGCTCTTCACAGGATAGGTATTATATTAAATTCTTTTTAAAATTATTTTAAATCCTTTGTCTTGTGAGTCATTCGTAACTGTGATATGTATCACTAGTTTGGAATTTTTATAATTCTTTACATACAAAACGCAATTCTTTTTCTTGCTTGTGAAAAGCTCTTTCCGATTGAGCTAATTTTTAAGTTTGTAAATATTTCGCAAATGGATACTTTAGAGCGACAGAATTTCTTTTTGTACGTGTTTAATTTCATCTACTACTGAGCAGCATTTGTGAGAATAAGCATCTATTTTTTGTAAAACTGAACTGTTTGTGGTGCACCCTTGTTCTTTGTATTTTGCGGATTGGAAGTATATAATCACTATACAAGATTTATTCTATATTAGTGGCTGGTCAGTGTTGTGGATGTAGTACGGTACATTCTTCATTGACATAAATACACACAACTGCGACATGTTTGCACTCTTACGCATAACATTGGATGACTCTGCAACGATGGTATGACATTAAAGATAAACGTTGATTTAAAGGCGTTATTCAATTTAATGGCGGAGGTGATGGAATATTTTGGAAACTGTAGTAATGTAGATCACTTGAGGATAACGTACTTGTATCTTACTACCATTATTATGAGATTATTGAGCAGTATCGTGCCATTAGAGCTAGCGGACACTGTTGTACCGAATTCTTTGAAAGAATCAATAACAAATGCTATAATGGACGCAGTACATCAATATATCTATTGTACCCGGCATTGCATTCTATGCTTTTAGAATATGCTCGTATAAGTAATAATACAATTCTTATTTTCCTATTCCACTCATTAATACCGATTATCACCGTTAATACAATTATTTTCATTTGCAGCAATTTCAAGATGCTAATCAGATAGCACTGATAAAACTATTCGATGATACTAGAACCGTCGCAAAGTCTATCCAGTCAGCTATCTGTATATTAAGAAATTTATCGGAGCAATCGCCTTCGGAAACGTTAAGAATGTTACATGCGTCTAAATTGAGTCTGTCGTACCATAAAAATTTAACTATCGTTAAAACGGCTGTAAAATTTTTACAAGATATCCCGAGATATTCTTTAAATGATGAGGATGATGCGTTGGCAACAAAACTGATATTGAATTTATTAGCAAACGAAGATGCATGTAGACATCCGATATACCACATATGTCGAATGCCACGTCCTGCTTAAAAGTATTCTAGGAGTAGAATATAGTAAACCATCGTAGGGAAATTTGACGTTCCTGTTTGAACCAAACGTCTTGACAGAAATAATTTCTCATGGCGCAAGGATAGCAGAGTAATAGAAAAAATTTTTTAATCAAACATTTTTATGTCACAAAGTTATGGTGCAGTTTTTGATTTTACAATTTAATTTAATTTTGATTTGATATACAGATAAATGAGATATCGAGAGATATGTTAGTATTTATACTGAAAGGAAGAATACAAATGGGCGAAACTGGATGATTGAAAGCTTTAGATAAGCTCTCGTTCCTGTATTGTATCTCTTACAGTGTCACGCTGATACATATAAATCCTTAGGCCAATGTATAACTAAAATGTTTGATCCTGATGTTTCCAACAGTATACAGTTGCCTTTCCTTGAGGTAATTTAACTTGATCGCAGACATCTTTTCGTGATTATATTTATTATGTGCTATATAAATCTTAATTTTTCAGGTGTTAAAAGACAATTTGAGATTTCTCTATTCACCGGACAGTGATATCCAGGAAGAAGCGTTGTGTTGGTTAATCTGACTTCTTGGGAAAGAAAAGGATTCTGTCCAGAAACTGCCACGTTTGTCGTCTTTACACCGCTTGTCTCTTAGCTCTGCATATTTGAACGTAGAAACTCCATTAAGGGATCAGAAGACAATTATCAGTTTACATATTTGCATTCAGAATATTTGAAAATCTCTTATAATCTTGATTTAGTCATTTGGCAGAGAATTGTTTTCATGTATATTTCTTAAATTATTAAAATTAATATTAAAAATTAAAATGCAATTTTTTAGAAATATATGTATATAAAATGTATATATAATTTCGAATATAATTCGTGAAAATAATTTGTTTACAGAGAAGCAATATGTTATCTGTGCTGGAAATGTTGAACAAACCAAACGTCGACCCGAAAATTCGAAAATCAGCATTATTACAAATTGGCGTAGATGCTTTCCGACACTTCCTTGCATAAATTGTTTATTAATCAAGGTGGACTACCTTTTGATTTTGGATATTTTCAATAAAGCCCTGGTAAGTTATTTGATAAAATACTTGATAAAGAATATTACAAATGTTTCTCATCCGATTTAAATGTTTTAAATATATTGAATGTTTTTAGGTAGAAAAGGATTATGTAAATTACGCAGATTCTGTGATACCAATAATCAGCATATTAAAACTACTCGCACTCTTTGAATGTACCATACGACATGAGTTATCTCTCAAAACTAATGTTCTTTTTAGTATCATAAGAAGTATGTATTTTATCATAATTTTTTAAATTCATATATTCGTTCAAAATTTAATTTAAACATATTTAGT